TTTATCATAAATCTTTTTTAATAAGGTCAAATTTTAGAACAATAAATTTAATTTTTATAAAATTCTTTTTTTAACAATTATTATTCAAATTTAAAATTATTTTATTTCGAAGCACCAAGTTTAATTTTTGAATGATTTCAGATTGAAAATTTTCAAAAATTTACTTATTAATTAATCAATTATAATTATGTAGGGGAGTATAGTCGAGGTTGGACCACTGTCTAGGTAGGCCATTCGCGATTTTTTGGACATTTCACTAGCGCCACCTACGCGCATGCTTGTCGAAGCTTGTATTAGTGAAACCTAACTTTTTGTTCAATTACATTTTCGGAGAATCGAAAATTGTGTTTTCTGTGACGTCGGTACAAAAAAAGGTCAAAAAAAGTTTTGTGCATCATGTGAAAAATCATTAATAAAAAATAAAAAAAAAATTGAATCGTCAAGGCAAGCATGCAGAAATTTTGTGGGACTCATTGTTGAAAGAAAATCACAGTGAAAAATCAAATCCCGAAACGTATTTCTTTATGGTTACAACAATTCGGTAATGTTACTTTCTGTCAAGGTCGGCCACTATGTTTTTAAAATGCGCAAAGATGAGGACGAGCTACTTCATTTGCAAAAACTGCAATTCTGAATAACTCATAATATAATTGATCATCTTATTAATATTTTTATTTAATTTTATTAATATTTCAGTGCAAAATTTTTTTTTATTTATATTTATTTTTTTATATTCTTTATTTTTATTATTTCATTAAGTTACAAGCTGTAAACAATAAAGAATCAATTTTCCGTATCTCCAAACATGTTATTTTATTTTTTTGACGATTAATGCCCTTTGAATTTTAAGCATGGACCGACCTTGACTGTAAGGACCAACCTGGACTACAAATTTTTTTTTAAACTTTATAACTTTTTCATTTTAAAACCAATCAATTTACTTTGTACAGAAAAAATGTTCCTATTAAACACCCAGTAAAAAAAATTCGATACACGGACCGCGGAGTTCGTATACGAGCTCGGTAGCTTGTATGAGAAATATGAGAAAACTTTCATACGAGCCTTTTCCGTAATGAGAAGTGTATAGATGCTTGTATACGAGGTGACTTTTAAAGCATTTTTATTAATGTAACACTATTTTAAAGTAAATGTAGATAATAGAAATGAATTTTCAAAGTAAAACAAAGCTAAATTTATAAAGGAAATGAAGTTTTAAGAAAAAAAGAATAATTTTATTCAAAAAATTTATTCACACTGAAAAAAGGTTAGAATTTGATAATTCCTTGTTTCTCTTACTTACCGACATTAGATATTTCTCGGATGAGGTAAGCACGATTTTGTATTAGCGGTAGAATTAATAAGTTTTTCTTCATTACTAATTAATAATATATTATTATTTATTTATTATATAAATTTTCTTATATAAAATAATTAAATTTAATACAAAATCTGCTTACCGTATACGAGAAATATCTAATGTCGGTTAGTTAGAGTAACAAGGAATTATCAAATTCTAACCTTTTTTCAGTGTGAATAAATTTTTTGAATAAAATTATCCTTTTTTTCTTAAAACTTCATTTCCCTTATAAATTTAGCTTTGTTTTACTTTGAAAATTCATTTCTATTATCTACATTTACTTTAAAATAGTGTTACATTAATAAAAATGCTTTAAAAGTCACCTCGTATACAAGCATCTATACACTTCTCATTACGGAAAAGGCTCGTATGAGAGTTTTCTCATATTTCTCATACGAGCTACCGAGCTCGTATACGAACTCCGGGGTCCGTGTATCGAATTTTTTTACTGGGCAGGACTTTCCAACAATATACTTCAATTGTCCAAATTCATTTTTAAAAAAAAGTTATAAACAAAAGTCAAAAGGTGGGCCGACCTCGACTATATTTCCCTAGGTGTTATTTCGAGAAATATTAATAGGATTCTTTAATACAATTCTTTTATAAGAATTCAACTGTTTTTAATATCATTTTCATTAAATTGCCTCTAAAGAATTTTAAGTTTCTTCGGAACAATTATTATTTTTATCAAGAATATACAGTCGTGTCTCGTCATTGCAAGATTCGGAGTTGCAAGATTCTCGAAACTGCAAGCCCTTTTAGGGCGGTACCCTTTCGTAATTGCAAGATGACGTCATCTTACGTCATCAACTTTTAGTACCGACAGTTAGGGAGCAATGAAGGTCCCAAATAAGAGAGGGCCCCAAAGAGAATATACCTATGCTCATCCTTGGAAATCTAGAAAGTAGGCGTGGTTTAAGTGGTGTATTCCACGTCAGTTCAACACAAGAAATTTTATTAGGTTTTGGGATTCGGTTGAAATTGGGTAGATTATATCCTCTGGTGGTAATAAATAAAATCCCCAAGCGATTTTAAAAAATTTCAAAAACTGGCGGACATATTGGATTTTTAATTTTTTTGTACTTTTTTTGAAAAATATATATCTCTGCTTCTTCTTAACGGATTTTAGTTTATGACCTCTTAAATTGTTCGTATTGAAATATGCTTTTATTTAAAAAATTAAAATTAAAAAAATTATTTAAATTTTTTGTTTAAAAAATTAATTTAATTTTTTGAAAAGCCATAGAAAAAATATGCTACCTTCAATTTTGATCATTTTTTTACCATTTGTAGCCATAAATGTGTTGAACTTGTCCTGAAATTTTCATCGTGGGACAGCCATTAGTTTTTGAGAAAAAAAATAAAACGTAAATCCTCGCATAGCGCTGTAGCGCTCAGTTTTAATGCCGCACGATTGTAAATGGAATTTTAATGAAAGTACGAGTTTTTATTAACCCTAGAACTAAAATATGATTTTTTTATAGACTAACGAAAAACTGGGGTGGTTTGGTACCCCAGATTTGAAACAATTGTAAAAGTTTTCCTTTTTTGTAATTTTTTTAATTTGTCAACAATGTGGCTAATTTGAAAAAATTAAACGGATTTAAAAAAAAAAATAAATAGAGACAATTTTATTTTGATTAAGGCAACTTGAAAATTTAAATATTATTTACAATATATACAAATGTTAAATGATTTTAAAATAGAATAAAAATCATTTATTACAAAGGAGGTTTCTATTTTTTACGGGGGAGTTTCCGAGGTCTTACAGTTTTTCTTTATTTACCTTTTAAAATCCGTTTAATTTTTTCAAATTAGCCACATTGTTGACAAATTAAAAAAATTACAAAAAAGGTAACCTTTTACAATTGTTTCAAATCTGGGGTACCAAACCTCCCCAGTTTTTCGTTAGTCTATAAAAAAATCATATTTTAGTTCTAGGGTTAATAAAAACTCGTACTTTCATTAAAATTCCATTTACAATCGTGCGGCATTAAAACTGAGCGCTACAGCGTTATGCGAGGATTTACGTTTTATTTTTTTTCTCAAAAACTACTGGCTGTCCCACGATGAAAAATTCAGGACAAGTTCAACACATTTATGGCTACAAATGGTAAAAAAATGATAAAAATTGAAGGTAGCATATTTTTTCTATGGCTTTTCAAAAAATTAAATTAATTTTTTAAACAAAAAATTTAAATAATTTTTTTAATTTTAATTTTTTAAATAAAAGCATATTTCAATACGAACAATTTAAGAGGTCATAAACTAAAATCCGTTAAGAAGAAGCAGAGATATATATTTTTCAAAAAAAAGTACAAAAAAATTAAAAATCCAATATGTCCACCAGTTTTTGAAATTTTTTAAAATCGCTTGGGGATTTTATTTACTACCACCAGAGGATATAATCTACCCAATTTCAACCGAATCCCAAAACCTAATAAAATTTTTTGTGTTGAACTGACGTGGAATACACCAAGTATCTTATGCGTTTACGAGAGTTGAAGAGTGGGAAATTTTCACGAATCTTGCAATGACGAGACACGACTGTAATTATATTGACAAATTATTATTTGTATAATCGGAGGCCCGGATTTCTAATTATAAGGAAGGGAAATGGGGGAGAAAAGAGAATAAAAGGCAAGAAGTTAATTAAAATAGAACTCCACTGAGTCGCACAACAAACGGAGACACAACTGTATAATTATGGGGAACTAATAGCGAAACGGGGGGCCGAGTTGGCGAGTTACATCGGAACGAGAGCCAGTGGCGGATCTAGAATTTACTCCAGGGGGGGGGTCATTTATAGATTCGGCGAGCAACGACCATAATTAGCTGACCTTTTTTTTATGTAAATTTTTCGCCCCAGGGGGGGGGTCATGACCCCCCCCTGGATCCGCCACTGACGAGAGCAATTATCTTCTTCTTCTTCTTAAATGACTTTAGGCTGTGCCAACTGTCAGAACTATAAGAGCAATTATCAAGTGTCGCGTCTGTCTTGAGGATTTGGCGATTGACACCCTCGGAAATCTTCGGTCATTTCCGGGGTCAATCGCCCAATTCTCGGCAGACGCGGGAAATTATGTAACGCCACGTTACAAATTAAATACCTACCTGAATTTGAAGATTCCATGGTAAATAATAATTAAAAATCTGTCACATTGTACGTTTTAATCAGGTTACAAACCTTATCTTGATAAACAAACAAAAAGCGCGAACATAACCGTTGAAAATAGGTCGACTTTAAAACATGTTTCTATGAAAATCGGCAATTAAAAAGAGCTAAAAATTATATATCATCAAACTTTGACTTATTGTTTATTGAAATAGTATAATTAAAAGTTGGAATTGAATTTTCGATATTTTCATTTTTTGGCAACTTTTTATGCATTCTGCCCCTCTGTGCGACAGGGAGACAAGTCGAACAAGTGAATGACTTTTACTCCATGTCGTCTGCTATCTGAAATCGACACTTTTGTACATTAGGAATAAAAAATATCGTAATTAACACGGGAATAAAGGCAGACAATTTGTTTACGATGATGTCTCCTTGTTGCTTAATGTACTCTGAAAAACACCACTTCTGGTGATCACCTTGTGCTAATTTTGGAAGAATATTTATCTGATTTTTAAAAATGTTCAGGAGTGTCAGCCGGACATTATACGGCATACGCAAGAAATCCTCGTACGGACCTCTGGCACTACTACAATGACGAAGAGACAAGCAAGAAGAAGCCTCACGACGAAGATTTCAGTAATGCATACATCCTATTCTACAATCGGCAGCAGGGGACCAATTTGAAGCCGTGTAACATATAAAGAGAATAATTTAATGAAGTAAGGAGCAAAACGCGACATGACGAAGTCTGCGACTATTCAAGCTTTTCAGAATTGTTTGAGGGCAGAAGGTGATTATTGTAGGAGACTCAGTTTCAAATATTTTGGCTGTGCGTGATGTGTATAGAGACCCGATCAGCGATGTAGAATATGTTTTTACTCTCTTATTTATATTTATTTTTTTATACACATATATAACATTTTTTTCCTTTATTTTGCCTTTTTATATCAACTTTTTATTCCAAACGGAAGTATCAGCAGACTTAACGACAAAGAAATTATTGTAAAATAATTGCAAGTCGAAAAGTCTTGTAAAAATGCTAAGCATTGTTAGTGAAAATCAACGCGTACTTAGGTAAAGTTATATTTCAATATTTGTTCTATTTTATTGTTTGCTCGAAATGAGCACACAAATGTGTCCGAGAATCATAAACTGATAAAAAATTAGTCAAATTATTAATTTAGATATTCTTTCGGTTTTACATTTTTTAAAAAATATTTTTCTCTTTCACTAAAGTATGAACAAGTTACATTAGTAAACGTTATATTTATAATTTATTATGTTAATAAATTATAATTTTGGCTAATTGCTATGAGTAAAAAGTCATCATTAATAAAAAAAGTCAGTATAAACATGAAGATGAAGAAAATAAACAGAAGAAGAATTTACAAGAAATACTAAATAATTAATGAACTACATTATTGTTTTTTTCATCGCATAGAAATCGAAATAAAATCTATCGAAAAGTAAATAAAGATCTTAACCGTTATAAGGCCTTTAAAATTATCAAATGTAAATAATAAACACGGTTCTTAAAATTTTTACCAGTAATATGTTTTGCCTATATCAAGCAACATTTTGCTCCAGGATCATTTTTTCAATATTGAAAATCAATCAGTTTTGGAAATTTAAAAATTTCGTCAATAAGATGCTGAAAGATGAAGAAATTTACAATTATTTTAAACATGCATTTGAAATAAATAATTGAAAACATTTTTCAACATTTTAAGAACTCATTAAAAATTAAAAACATTCTCAGTGAATGTTGTACAGCTTGATAACGTTTGGAATATTTTATAAATAGGGATTTAAATTTAAGTAAATAATTGTTATAAACTTTGTTGAACTAAACAATGTGATTTTAAAAGATGGTTTTACAGATCTCTTAGAGCTAATAAATTGTAAACTTTCTGTATATACTTTTTTATCGTTTTCTTTTAAATTTTAGGTTAACTGCACTTTGCAAAATTTTTAATAATCTTTCTAAAACAGAACTGACAGTTTGCGCTTTTTTCTCCTACTCACGGAAATCATTAATATTTCTAATATTAATGAATTAATTAATATTAACTTTATTCTGGAATTTAAATATATTTGCTTGTAGCACAAAAACTACATTTTATTCTAAATCAATATTTATATAATATTGGTAATGTTTGTTTTAAAAACAATACATGCTTATTGTATTATTTATTTTTAGTTTATAAGAAAAAATACGTTACTGAAATTTTTATTATAAATATTTTGTAAAAAATTTAGTGAATTGTGACTAATTCATCTAAACAAAGAAATAAATATCAAAATGCTCGTTAAAAATGATCAATTGATGATGTGATTTTTATGTTGTCGATAATCTGAAATTAAAGTAATTTTACAATTTTTTTGTTTCGTGACTTTATCAATTCGTATATTTTAATCAAGAAGGCTAGAGACAGGAGGTGAAACTTCGGTAGTGGGGATGAGTCAAGAGCCTTTCTTTAACCAGGCGTTTTTCGTTTCGAAAAGTCGCCGGCGCGGTGCTTCTGCACATCACTCACACATTCAAATTCTTGTATACCGTGTGTTTCACATGTGTATGATATGATTTTAATTTGAGGTTAACTTTAAAGTGCAATCGAGACACAATGTGTGTCATAACGGATATATAGAATTAATGTGAGTGATTATTAAATTAAGTGTTATTCAAATAATTAAAAATTCCGAAAACGTGCTGTGTGAAAAGTTGAAACAAGAAGAAAGATAAACACAGCACTATGACTATTACTTTTTGTTAACTTTTAATACACTTCATGCTATAGTTTACACATTTTTTTGTTTTTAAAACTTTTTTTTTAATAACTAAAAGATGTTTGAAAATATAAACACTTATATTTCATATTGTATTTGTATAGAATATATTTTCCCGTGTTTACGTGTGTAGCTGCGCAGAAGTCCGTGTTTGAAAGTAAACGCCTGACCATATATCAACTGAGCGACTCAGCATTGCCATACCCCCACTACCGAAGTTTTACCTCCTGTCTCTAGTCTTCTTGATTTTAATATTTAATTTTCAAAATGATATTAATATTAATCTTTATAAATTAAGGTGATTAAAAGGAGATGAGAGAATAAAAAATCATATATAAATTAAAAAAGGACAAGAAAAGTTTATATGAAATTACATTTCGATAAAGGTTTCGAAATAAAGAGGTAAATGATATAGGAATTTATAAAAACAAGATAATAAAAAATTTGAAGAATTACTTGAATGTTTTATATAAAAAAATTTCTGGGACGATTCATGCACCCTGTATAAATGTTAAAAAAATTGATGACTAATAAATCATATTATTTAGAAAAGTTTTCAAATGAATTTGACAGCGAATTTCATTTGTTTAATGTATTATTTCGAATGCCTTATAAAATTGAAATTCATGTTGAGATATTATACTAGTATTCTTTAGCGCCAGTTTTTACAAGCTGCGAATGAGCGCAGTGGAAAAAGTTTAATCAACTACGAATAATATTAACAATTATAGTAACAATAATAAACAATCAAACTACGTCATAAGATACTCAAAGTTGTGACGTCATCCATCAAAGGAGACTATTTACATTCGTGCATAAATAATATAATTACATTAAATGCATGGACAAACAAATAATTAGGTATTACTTTTCTGAACAAAAAATTACAAATGTATTTTTTATTTAAAATCTACTGGTATGACTTTTTCGATTATTTTTATAAAAAGGATATTTTCGAATGTTCCTTCAAATATTACAACAAAATATGACTGTTTTGAATAAATTTTACGCGCTCCTAAGAAAGATACCTAAGAAGCAAACGAATTATAAGTTATGTTTGGGTTAGATTTATTTTCATTAAAAGTTCATTTTTAATTATGTAAATTTGAAACCAGTTTTCATTGAATATTTTGGATCTAAATAATCCAAAATTATTTAATACATCTTAGTTATGTACCTTTCTTGGAAACGCATAACAAATTGCAAACTTATTTAATAATAATAGTAGCTGAAATGTTGAAAAATGTTATTGACAATAATTGATTTTCTAAAGTATTTCATTCAAATTTTTAGAAAATTTTAATTGCAAATTTTGAAACTATTTAATTAAATTCGCAAAAGCTTTAATGAAAATTATTCGAAAAAAATTATATTATACGCTGTTTCTTTAAAAATAAGTCTTATAATTTTTTCATCATAATTTAACATATTTACAATATGTAATTCGAATATTTACAAAACCAATAACCAAATTAAAATTATTTAAAAAATTTTGAAGATATCGATAATTTAAAAAAATTTTAATTAAAATAATTCTTCAAAAAATTGATTAGTTTTTTAAAATGTTCAACATTGGGACAATTCAAGAAATTCAATTATTTTCAATATATTCGATTACATTTTGTTTTTCATTTTTTTTTTTTTCATTTAAAAAAAACATGAAGAGTTGTTACAATTATTTAAAAAAATGAAATTTTTGGATGTAAAGACATGTAACGTCGTTACGTGTTTCCATAGTAAAGTATATGGGGCACATGACCACTAAATAACATAATGTTAAATAATTGATTTTTGGAATTATCGTGGAAGAACTTTCGGAAAATTATTAAAAATAATCTTGCTTTAGAAGTTTCGGGCCTAACCGATTTGTATAAAACACTCAGAAAAACAATATAGAATAACTTGTGGTTTGTCAATTAAGTTAATAAATAATAAACTGTTAACATTTACCCCCGAGAATTTGAAAACTTGAGGTAAATATAAACAAAACTTGAACTGCTTTTGAAAAGAATATAATTGAATAACTTTGTAAAATTACATAGGTTCTCCTTTCATACCTCCTTTGATGAGTCAATTTCAGGTCTAATAAAAGTTGCATACATATTTTCCAAAAGTTCACTTTTGACGTTATATGATATAAAATATAAAATCTAAGTGGTTGAATTCTTATACATCTACTATGAATTTTTTCATTTTTTCCATTCCATTATTGTATATTTGAGATACCGTTTCTCTTGACTATTCCTTAACTACAATAATGATTACATTTATCCCGAATGTTAGGAAAATTTCAAAATGTTGGGGTAAATGTAGACAGTCAGTTTTATGCGTTTCAGGCTTATTAATATTTTCTTGTACCCCATATTTTAAAAAAATTTTAAATCGTATATATTTTACTATTATAGTCTATAAGTAAATTGAATTTTTTTTATAAATTTTGCGATTAAATATTTTATTTTATAGCCGTAAATTGTAATTAAAGATGCAAGTTTTTAATTCCACTTTGTAATTTTGGACTTGACCATAAAAAAAAATTTTATGCGCATTTTAAAAACTTAATAACTTTTTTCTGGATGCATTGTAAAATTTAATAAGTATTTCTCACATATTTAAGTTTGTGCTTTTAATTCAGGTTTGAAAATTTAACAAAAAGAGGATAATAAAATGTATACGATTTAAAAAATGTTTTAAAATGTGCTGGCCACCACTTTTTAATAAATTTTAGTGAATGTAGTATAGTGAATGTACATAAAATAAAAGAACATAAAGCACCTTTAAACCTTTCAGCTAATACGACATACGTCTATTATTTTTAAAATAATACTGTTTCTATGCATTTAATTTAATTGTATATGTATAGTGGTTAACGAACATATTGAAACTCTTTAATTCAAGATGAAGAATCTACTTGAAATACGTAGTGTTTTATTGCTGGTTACTATTCAACAATGTTCTTTGCTTAAAAATAATAAACTCTTGGAACATACTATTGCAGAGAAAAACAATGAGAATTGAAAATAGAAAGTTTGAGTCTTTGAAAGTTCATCATCACGTGCTGATGGCCACTATAAAACTTTGATAAATGCATATAGAAACATACATAGAACGATTAAAAAGTGTACATAAAAAATATACATTTTTAAATAAAAGTTTGTTTAATTTATTTCCAAACACACATTATACTTACTATTTACACCTTGCACCTCACTCCTTCAGTCGTTATGTCAACTAGTACTTTGACTTTTCTTATTTTCAATATAAATGTTTTTCATAGAAATAAAAATATTAATTACTGACCAACTTGAAATTCCACAATGTTGATCAACGAAAATATTTGTTTTAACAATTGTTGCATAATTTAAATCATTAAACGAATTTCCCTCGTCAAAGTTCTGGACATCAATTTGGTAATCAATAATCTAAATTTCTTTTGATTATCTTTACAAGAAGAAAATAAACCCAAAATTTTTGAAAAGTATACATTTTATTATACACAAAAAACAAAAGAAAATGCAGAACGTAAAGTTGAACATTTTTATGAAAAATAATTGATCACAATTCAGTCTTTTGTTTAGTATCTAAAGCATACTGTCCTGTAAATGTTTGACCCTCAAGTGTGACAAGTTGCAGTTCCTTTTGAGCAATTAAAAAGTTTTTGGCTTCCACGGCTTGAGATCCTTCTCGAAACATAAAAATTGATCTTCTATCTTCAATGGGATACCTCTCAATAACTATGTGATTGTTGTTCAAGCTAGTTTGCCAAATTTGCATTACTGTTTTGGCATCGTCAACGGAAACATCAGGACGAACGTCGACAAACATCATTACACCTTTGCCCTTTTTTGTCGCTCGCAAAACATTGTCCGGATCGGACATGTCAATTTTACTTATATCTACTTTCGCAGGTGGTCGAAGATGCTCGGGAAGTTCATCCGGCTCCAAAGGATCCTCATTCTCTTCCCATTGATCAAGTATATGTTCCAAATCGGCGTCCGTCATATCCCTTATATCTTTGTCCTTCCATGATTTTTTTCTCGGCTCATGTGTACTTTCAGCATATAAAGTTAAACATAAATTTAAAATTATAAATAAGACTGGAAATTTTGATAAAAACAATAGGAACTTCATGTTTGATTTCAAGGTTATGTTGAATCCACAATAATGATAAAACGTGTCACACTCATATGTTTCCGTTAAGGCCTTTCTCCAATAGGTTTTAAAAACTCTGCGTCTGCGTCGGTTGCTATAGCAACACATGCTAAAATCAACGCAACGCAGCCATGAGTGCAAATATAGCAAACATATATCTCTGTCTCTCTCACACTCATGGCCTAGTTACAAAACGCAACGCAAAACGCTGCATGAGGGTGGAGTCCCATGGCAGCGTTTTGCGTTGCGTTTTGTAACTAGGCAATGAGTGTGAGAGAGATGGAGATATATGTTTGCTATATTTGCACTCATGGGCTAGTTACAAAACGCAACGCAAAACGCTGCCATGGGACTTCACCCTGATATTCTCTGCTTTCGATTGACGTATTCTGCTCACATGTGATCGCACCCTAATAAATGCGTCGATACCGAGTCGATACAAACAAAACGAAAGTTATTGTAGAAGCAGTTTGAAAAGCTGCCCAACCCTGCGTGTGAAAGGATAGCCGATAGCCCTTGAGTCCTTGACAGTCCTTGCTTGACTAATATTATTAATCTGTCTGTCTGTCTTTCAAAATTATTGAAAATTAACGTTTTGCCGTTATATTTAATGAGTTTCTAGGAGAGATATCAAATATAGAAATGCAGCAAGCCGACATTCTAATTCAAGAAATAGAAGGGATCGATGATTATTTAGGACCAACCTTCAGGTGAATTATATTTAAAATTTGCTAATAAGAAAGGGGTTAGTTTATCAAAGTACGCGGGGTGAAAAATAATCCCTTGTACGCAACTACAATATCTTTATCTGCATTTGCGCACTGAAAGGGGTAGAATGGGGTTGAAAATAATATATATATATATATATAACCCCTTTTTTCAATAAAAAATAAAGACGAGGTTACTCACGAACTCCAAATCTAGCATGTCTAGTTTGTCGTTTGCACCACTATACAATGCTCTACTTAATACAATTCCAAAACATGAACATTTATTGTCTGAAATTGAATCTTCAGGTGCAAATAACATAGCTCTTGTAATAAGGTCCGTACATGCCTTGCTTTAATCACTTCATTTTATTGCTAAACAATTATCCAATTGTTTAAACTTTTTGTCAAATTCTATTTTTTTCACAAGGATTTAATTTTTTAAAGATTATCAGTGATATTTTTATCTCATAAGCACAGTTCATAATGAAAACATGAATTTTTTTAATTATTTATTACAACTTTATTTACTTATTCCTATTGATATTAACATGATTTGTATGTTATAAATTAAAATAAGTTTTATTCTTTTAATTTTCAAGCAATTTAATATCTTCTCATTAAAATATTAATTTTAGAGCAATATACGATGGAGAAGAACATCATAAATTTATGGAAAAGCTGGACGAACGAATCAAAAGTCATGACAGAGATATTGAACGAATGTGTAATCATCACTATCAAGGATTCATTGACTCGATCCGAGAGTTGCTACAAGTTCGATCTCAAGCTCAACAACTAAGTGTATGTATTGTTAGAGTAAAATGATACCGAACAACTATTACATTTCATTCAATTGTTATTTCTTAAGAAAAGAAAATGGCATAATTCCTCTTTCTCGATGACAGTTTATTAACAATATTCAAAGTTTCCATTAAAAATGAAGAAACAATTTTTCTGTTTTTCTATTTCGTAAATGTTTATATTTTTTACCTTATTTGAAAACATGCTACAACACAGCTAAAGAAATTAATAAAATCAATAATTGTTTCAAATTAGAAAAACATTTTATACAATTATTAAAGAATGTGTCGATTATTATTAAAAAAAAATAATAAATAATTAATACTTATTAAAAAAATAATATTGAGATTTTAATAAAAAATTGTAGTGAAGAAATGGAAATTATGCAAATTTTTTTAATTAGGGTAAGTGTGTCAATTGCTGCGCGTTTGTGAAATGTGTAATTATTTATCACTAAAGAAAATATTACTCGTTAAAAAACGTTGAAAAAATTATTTTGAACAATACTTGATACCTACAATTGTCTATAAAGATATACATTTAAAATAAAATTACTTGAATTATTTAACTTTAAATTCTGCTTGCCGCAGAAACTGAAACATGCTTGTGAAATATATGTGCTTCAGTTGCTGCGGGCAAAATGACATCTAAATGCATGTTATTTTGTCCGCAGAAACTGACGCGCAACAATTGACTTTTATAGGCTATTAATTTTTGTAAAAATTTCTTAAGAATACGAACAATTAGTTTAATAAATTTCTAATTTAATTCCTTTGCTACAAATATTTTTTTTCTATGCAAAATATATCTTGGCTGGAATGTCACAGGAATTACCCTATATAAAAATTTTAATTATGAAATAGAAATTTATTTTAATTAATTTCGTTAAAAATTGTGATTAAAAAATAGAAATTACACAAATTTTTTTCCAAATGAAACTAAAAAAACTAACCAAAAAATATTATTGACAAATCAACATTATGAAAATTTCTTTCCTTTATTTTATAAAAATCTTTTAAATTTCTCAGTTTTATTTTCAATGAACAATAAAAATTGTGATTACATTACAGAGTAATTTGTAAGGCCTATTTGGGTGTTTTTATGACACAAATTACATAATATTTGTTAAAATATAATTTCTAAATAATTGATTTTTAATTGAAATGTGTTTAAAATATTCAGAGCGAAATATTAGAACTCGATAAACGTATTATTCTTACAACGACTGGAGTGATTGAAAAGCGAGAGGAACTTGTAAAAGCAAGAAAAGTTGAGAGTAACATGGCTGCGGCAGTAGATAGTCTCACAATGTGCCTTCCCGTTTTAGCTGCTTATGCCAAATTACAACGTCAATTAAAAGATAAACGTTATTATCCTGCACTAAAAACGCTTGAACAATTAGAGAACAACGATTTACCAAAAGTCACCAATTACAGGTTCTCCTCACAAATCACTCAACAAATTCCAGTGTAAGTTTTCTATTTTCTGCTAAGTTTTAAATATAGGGTGTTGTGGGGTGATGTGCAACACCGCCGATTACTGATTTACAGTTCGATATTGAACAGAGCCAAGTATTGCCATTTGTTTGTGTCCTCAGTAACTTGTTTTTTATATAAAACTCACGAGACAGCTCGCAGCTAGGTTCGCTGTACGTAAGTTGAGTTAGATTTCTCGAGCAGGAAATATTTCTCGCGCTTTACATTTCTAGTCGTTTCGTGAAGGGTTTTAATTTATTTTTTAGATAAGAATGTGCTTATTGTTGGTTTTTTAAGTGTTTTTAAATATCTGTTTGTATTTTGTGATTCCATTGCATTGTATTGCGTACAAATCATTTTTCGCAAAATATCATATTTGGGGTGATGTGCAATACTTTTTTTTGGGGTGGACGTAACTACTTTTTACGTGCCATAACTGCGATTCACATGATGAATAAAAAATACTTATGAATAAATAAAAAATTAAATAAAAGAAATTTTTTTTCTTTGGTGAAATCTCCACTTTTTAGAGGTCAACTATACCTTAGTAAATTTTGTTTTTTGCAGATTTCGATTAGTTTGCATTGAAAAAGCCTAAAATAAATAATTAAAGAGATTTTCATCGATATTCATGCATTACATACCTGAATTTTACTGGTGTTGCACATCACCCCAACTTTTTTGGAAAATGCAAAAACAGACGTTTTTGAAAATGCGAAAAATTTGTAGGGAAAATTTAAAATTCTGAAAATCTAATAATGCAGAAATATTCAAAATTTAATTATTTGACATGTTTTTCGTCCAACGAAAAAAACGTTGCACATCACCCCACAACACCCTATATATATATATATATACTAGCTGTCGTACCCGTCTTCGACGGGTTGTAGTTTCTGATAATGCACTTAACAGTGTATCTATACCAACCTAGAAAACCGGAAAATAGCCGGGAATTTGATTTGACAGGGAAAAAATAATAATTAGTTACTATTGTCTATTTCATTAGGAAAATAATACCATTTGAAACAGTGACCGACTTTTTATTATCAAATTAGTTATTTTTAACTAATTCAAATGCAGAAAACAATATTTCTCAATTTGTAGTACTTCAATCAATATAATGTATTAAAATAAATCTAAAATTTCCTCCAGTTTTTTGAGTTATAGTACAGTCTAATTCGAACTAATTGTATAGCAAGTAGATCCAGTTTTTCTCGGTTACATTGAATTCCCTGATATTTTACGTCTTTTCTGGTTGGTAAACACCCTGTTAAATAACATGTAATACTCAACTATAGAAAGTTTAGAAGCAATCCATGAAAAAATATAAAATTTAGAAATGATTTGTGTTAAATAAATTTATTTATTAGAGTCAAGTATTTATTTAATTAATCCAATTAAGATTTATTTGATTCAACTAAATAAAATTATTTAAACGAAATAAATTCTTATTAGATCGAAATAAAAACTTTTTAAATAAGATATTATTTTTCAAATAATTATAATTACTTGAATCATATAACTTTTTTTAGTGTAGCTATAGTAAACTAAAAGTTATTAATGTGAACGAACATTATCTATATTAATAAAATCAGATTACTATCTGTACATTGCTCCAAACTTGAAAATTTTTATATATTTTTTCGTTTTGAGACATTAGAATTCTAAAAATGTAAAAAAAATTTCTGTCTGTCTGTCTCTGTCTGTATGCAAAACTTTGTTCGCGCATCAATTGAAAACGGTTCAACCAATTAAAGTGAAATTTGGCAGTCTATTAGGTATTAAAGTAACTTACAATCATAGCCTCATCCGATTAAAAAATATTAACTTGAACAAAAGTTATGACATTTTTCCAAAAAATTCAAAAAAACAAAAAAATGCAAATTTTTTATCTTTTGTAAAATGAATGAAAAAACTATCCTTAGCTAACTTTTTCAGATAAATACAACCCATTTCTACGATAAAATTTTTAAAAAAGATGCATTTTGAAATTTTTTTTCGTTTTTTTAGATCAACTTTTTTCTAAGAAAATAGTGATTTTTAATCTTTAAGCAAGCTTTTCAGGAAAAGTTATTAAAGTTTTTTATTTAAAGATCAGTATGTAAAGTAAAAAATTTGCTACATTAAACAAAAATAATTAGCTAAATGCCATAAAAAAGAAGGAAAAATGTTGAATTTTAAGAAATTCGGTTTTTTGAATTTTTGCTAATTTTCCATAATTTTAGATTTTTTACCGAAGGGTGGAGATAACAAATTAGGTAAAGTATTTTTTAAGAGCACAAAAATAATAAAGCTAAATGCTATAAAAAAGAAGGAAAAATGTTTAATTTTAAGAAATTCGGTTTTTTGAATTTTTGATAATTTTCCATAATTTTAGATTTTTTACCGAAGGGTGGAGACTATTGAATAAGTAAAGTATTTTTTAAGAGCACAAAAATAATAAAGCTAAATGCCATAAAAAGAAGGAAAAATGTTTAATTTTAAGAAATTCATTTTTTTGCATTTTTGCTATTTTTTCATAATTTTAGATTTTTTACCAAAGGGTGGAGATAACAAATTAGGTAAAGTATTTTTGAAGAGCCCAAAAATAATGAAGCCAAAAGCCATAAAAGAGAAGAAAAAATGTTGAATTTTAATAAATTCGGTTTTATGAATTTTTGCTAATTTTCCATAATTTTAGATTTTTTACCAAAGGGTGGAGACTATTAAATATAAGTAAAGTATTTTTGAAGAGTACAAAAATAATGAAGCTTAATGATATAAAAGAGAAGAAAAAAATGTTAAATTTTAAGAAATTCGGTTTCTCGAATTTTTGATAATTTTTGATTTTTTGCTAAAGGGTGGAGACTATTCAAATAGTATAATTATACTACCGAAATAGCTAATGGTAACTAATTATTAATTAATTAATTATTAACTAATTATTAATTATTATTAATTAACTAATTATTAATTATTAATTATTAATTATTAATTAATTTATCCCGGGTATTTTTGATTTTCCGCAGATTGGTAGAAACATTGTTAAATGTATTGGTAGAAACTAAAACCCGTCGAAGACGGGTACGACATGACAGCTAGTGCTATATATTTTCAAAATTTTTAAAATTCAAAATTTATCTTTTGAAATAATTATTGTCATTAATTTTACTTAAATTTTATACAGGGTTAATTTTAGTATTTTTTATTACAATTTAGTCATCAGAATGAAATTTGAGTTTTTCATTTTTTGATCATTAATTAATAAAATATAATAGCAATTTTGAATTCTGTGCAACATACTGACAAAAGTCTTATATTAATTATATGGATATTGTTAATATTCTGACCTAATAGAATTCTTTTAAGAAAGTAAACTTATGATTTCAACAACAAATTTTTATTGTTGACCTAAGAAATACAACCGTATAAAAATTAATTACAAAAAAATTTCAATTTTTAAACTTTTTAATTTTTCAATATTTAAATCTAACACTTTTTATTTGTTATTCAAAATTTTATTATTCTGACGATTAAATCTTCATAAGAAACACTAAAATTAACCCTGTACCAAGTTTAAGTACAATTCACTAAAGTATATGAAAAAACTAAAAATTTCGAATTTTCGAATTTTTGAAAAAATGGCATAACTTTCGTCCATATTAATATTTTTTAATCTACTATCTCTAGGATTTTAAGTTAGGCTAATGCCTAAAAGACTGCCAAGTTTCACTTCAAACGATTGAACCGTTTTTTCCGTGATACGCGGTCGAAAATTTGCGGACATACATACACACATACACACATACACACATATACACATACACACATAATTTTCTTAATAGTATTTTCGCATTCCTTAGAGTGTAAAAAGAAGGAATATAATAGAAATTTTGAATTCTATGCAATGTACAGACAAAAGTCTGATTTTATTAATAAGGATATATATATATATATATATATATATATATATATATATATATATATATATATATATATATATATATATATTAATTATTTATGCAATATTTTTAGATTGCGAGAAAACATAAAAGACGCGTCAATGAGTGATTTGCGAGACTTTTTGGAAAACATTCGGAAATATTCACCGAAAATTGGAGAAGTTGCCATGAGACATGTAAGTACTTTTATTTATTAATTTGCATCAATAGAATTAATTAAAAATCACCTATTTCTTTAATTTTGCAAATTTTTCAAATACTTTTAATCAAAAGTTTAATTTCTAAAAATATTTAATTATTTTATTTTTAAGTAAATGTTAATTTTAATTTTGAAAAACATTTATCGATTAAAATCTTTTTTCAATTAACCGAAATTTCAAGTTTATTCAAATTTCAAACAATATTAACTTTAAACTCTAATATTAATCAATATCAAATACAATAATTTTAAACTTCAGTTTATGTATTTTCATAAAGAAAAAAGTTAATGTGATCCCTGATATTCTTAAAGATTTACTTATACAATTAAAAATTTTCTTAAATGTTGAAAAATTTGACAATATTCAAGTCGTTTGTAAATTGTAATTAATGTTCAATTTTTTTAAATAAATATTTTTGTTTTAATTTTTGAAATGCATTTTTTTATCAGTCGAATTGATAGTTTAAAAACGAATTTTATTTGGCCCAGGGTGGCCGCTGGACCGGGAAACCGGGAAAACCGGGAAATGACAGTGAATTTTTTTGGACAGGGAAAAACCGGGAAATGACAGTGAATTTTGATCTTGACCGGGATTTTGGAATTTTCTTTTAAAAACACACATTACTTTGTGAGAAAAAATAGAAATATTTATTTTAAGACTTAGGTATTAATTATATTTCATTAAAAAAGATTGAATGATCTTCTATAAAATCTATTTATATTTTGTCAAAGAATTTTATAAAAAGTACTATAAAAATATTCAATTTCTAGAATTTATAAGAAAATTATGAATTTTGTTGTCCAACGTAACAGACTTAAAAAAAGAAAATATTAAATTTAATTTTAAATTCTTTCTATTTCTAACAATAATTAAACAAAATATAATTTTAATTAAATTTGTCAAAAACATTTCAAAGAGAAAAAATTTCACATCCTATAAAATAATGAAAAATAAATCAATTTAAAAATTTTTTGCAATTAATATTATAACAAAACAAATAAGAATTATTAAAAATTTGAACTAATTAGAACAAAAGTGATACGAAATTTATAAAAATGAATTTTTGAATAACAAATAAAGTAAATAAAAATAAATAAAATTTCTTTTCTTAGAAAATAAATTTTAAAAAACCGTATTTTTCATTAATATCAATTAATTTTTTTACAATTATTCATAAGCAAATTTTTTGATTTTTTTGAATGTTAAATTAATATCATACTAATATTATTATAGATTGAATTTTAAAAAATTTCAAATTGAAGTTTTAGAAAAGTTGAATTTTAAAAGATTTTAATTAAAAATTCTGAATAATTTAGTTTTTAAAAATATTTTTATTCACATTTTCTCAAATTAGTTATGTTTTTAAATATGTAATATTTAATTGAAAAATTTTCAAATTAATCAAAATTTCATGAAATTGTCTTGTAAACAAGTGGATTTTAGAAATATTTTAGTTATTTCTAGAATATAATTGAATTGAAATTTTGAAAATAATTTTTAATAAGTTGCAGTAGCAATTCTTAAAAATTATTCAAATTTAAAGGATTTGAAATTTGAATTTTTTTTTGAAATTTGAATACCCTCTATATGGAAAAATAATGGATAATAATTAAATATTTATTTCAAAAAATCTATTTAAGTTCAAAATTATTTTTAGAGTAAACTAAAATATTTTTAGGGTTTGGGAAAAAGTCAAAGTTTTGTCTAAAAATCAGGAAATTCTTTCAATCTTTCATGGAATAATTTATTTTCAGAGTTATTATTTATGACCGGGAAAAATAATTTATGACCGGGAATGGACCGGGAAATGACCGTGAATTTTTTTTTACAAAAAAAGTGGCCACCCTGAATTGCTTCATTTAATTATTACCGTTTAGAAAAGAAAACTATTAGTTCTCAGTTTTTGAATGTAGACTGCAGAGCAACTGGAGAATGAGGCCGAAATTATTGGACGTAGAAAAAAAAGATTACACTCAACACCTTCAATCGAAGGAGATGAAGAATTAAGCGCACAAGATCTCATGGATTTCAGTCCAGTTTATCGGTGCATGCACATCTATACTGTTTTACGTGAGGGTGAAACTTTTAAAGCCTATTATAGACAACAAAGGCAACAGCAAGCGAGGCTCGTTTTACAGCCACCAATCAATATGGTAAAAATATTTTAATATTTCAATATTTCAAATTAAATTATCATTCTTTTATTTCTAGAGAATTTTGCATTTCAGCACGAAAGCATAAAAGGATATCAGTCGTATGTTTATGGAATTCTTGGATTTTTCGTTGTGGAAGATCATATTCTTAATACTGGCAATGGATTGGCGAATCGATCATATTTAGAGGAACTTTGGTCGATGGCTCTGTCAAAAATCGTCAACGCACTACGAACACATTCTGTAAGTAAAAGGCGGTAAATTGTCAATTTTTAAATTAAATATTTATAATAGAGCTGTGCAAAATTCGAACCGAAACGAGTTTTGTTCGGTTTTAGGGCGCCGAAATGTCGAATAGTCGACATCCGAACTAGGCGAAAAAATTCGAACAGTTCGGTTCGAATTATTTTGCACAGCTCTAATTTATAATAATCGCATTATCAATTTATATTCTTTTTAGGCATACTGCACTGATGCTACACTAATACTGAAAATTAAGAATCTCATAATGCTTTTCAACACGACATTAAGAGTGAGTATAATATTAAATTATTATTATATAAAAATAATCGAGATAATCTGTCTTCACGTGAAGTTCGTGTCAAAAGTTTGTCTGTTAATTTGTAAATAATAAAATAGTCCTGTGCGGTAAACCGGTATACCGGTTTTTTTTTTGGTATTACTGGAAACCGGTTTCCGGTTATGAATTCCCGGTTTAAGGTTTTGTTTTTTTAACCGGTTTTATTTTTTAAACCGGTTTTTCTCGAAAAACCGATTTTCTTTTTTAAACCGGTTTTTTAAGAAATACCGGTTTTTGAACGCAATACCGAATCTAACCGACTTGCGCATTATGCCTGCGCAAAAGTGACATAACGGCAGAACAGCAACAGATGATTGAGAAAGATTAATCGTTTTTGTTTTTATTAGACATACAGTAATTTTTTTTTACTTAACAGACCAATTAAAAAATTTTGTTTTTGAAAAACAACCTGATTTTTGTAATAAACTAAATTTTATTAAACCAGTTTTCTTTTTAAACAAAATGGTATTTGAAAAACCGTTTTTTAAATGCTTGAATTCAAAAAACGGTTTTTTTAAAAATACCGGTATTTAAAAAAAACCGGTTTAAAAAAAAATACCGGTATTTTTTTTAATACCGAAAACCGACTGAAGAACCGGTTTTTTCAAAAACCGAAAACCGGTTATAGATTTTTAATACCGCACAGGCCTATAAAAAATAAAATAAGTCAAGTAAGAAAATTCAACCCAAATTTCAAAAACTCAGTAAAGAGGTACAGTTGCAATTTATAAAAATAATTAATTATTATTATTTGTTAATTAAAGGAAATGAATTTATCATTCGGTAATTAAATATTAAAGGTGAAAGAAGTTAACAATTTTTCCGAATCAATCTCACAAATAAATCTCTGAAATAAGCTCATGGGTTTCATATGTATCGACAGCACAGCTGCCCTAATACAGAAACCTGCTTAATCTGAAAAATATTTTTGAAATTAATGCTACCATTTTTTTCTGAGTTCTTTGATAATTTTGAAATTATTAATTAATTTCGAAAATATTTTTCAGATTAAGCAGGTTTCTGTATTAGGGCAGCTGTGCTGTCGATACATATGAAACCCATGAGCTTATTTAAGAGATTTATTTGTAAGATTGATTCAGAAAAATTGTTAACTTCTTTCACCTTTAATATTATTATTTATTCTGTTAATAACATTTTAGAAAACAATTGAATATTTAAAGCATTATAACAGGAATTTTAGGAATTAATTCAATTTTAATTCAATTTTAAAAGATTTTTAATTTTAATTCTTTGAAAATTTAAGGGAAACAAAAGTATAAAAGTATTTGAATTTTTATTTAAAAATTCTAAAAAAATAATTTAAGTTTGTAAGAATTACAGTTGCAATTTTTGGAAATAATTAAATTTCAGAAGGTTTTCACTGAAATTATTTTAAATTTTAATTCCTGTTGAAAAATAAATAACAATAAGTTTTTAAATTTTCGTTTAGTAAAAAGTATGAAGTTTTGAATACTTTAATTTAGAAATTCCGAAAAAACTTGTTCCTTGAAAAAATGTAACTAAAATTGTTTAAAAATAATTGTATTGTATGTAAACAAAACACTGAGGGCTAATTAATAAAAAATTATAATAAAAATAATAAATAATAATAATAATAAATAAATAAATAAATAAACGCATAATTTTTTTAATAATTAATAAAAATAAATTAAACACTCTATTAACGTGGTTATAATCGGTTTTATTCGCAACAAACCACTGAATTTTTTATAATTGCGAGAGAAAAAGAAATTCATCAGTGATTATTGCTTACATCTTGAAAAATATTGAATTTTATCTTAAAAATTAGTCTTGAAATTGTCTGTATGTTTATTTTTTTATTGTTATTTATTCCAGAATTACGGCTATTCTGTTGGTCAACTTTGGGATTTACTTCAAGAGATTCGAGTTCATTACAATGAAGTTTTAATGCAACACTGGGTTCAAGTCTTTAGAGACATTCTCGAGGAAGACAATTTTCTGCCAATTCAGGTTTCCTCGCAAGAAGAATGCGACAATGTACTCGGCTCATTTCCCTATCGAAATAAAGAATTACAGACGTCGGAATTTCCAAAAGTATTTCCCTTTTCACCAATGGTACCTAAAGTCTATCAACAAGTTAAGGAATTTATTTACGCCTGTTTAAAGTTTTCCGAAGACTTGAATTTGACACAAACGGAAATTGACGAAATGATTTGTAAATCTACTAATTTACTGTTAACACGTACATTCAGTGGATGTTTGTCTTCGTTATTCCGGAAACCGTCACTTGCATTACTTCAAGTCGTGCAGATTATTATAAATACAGGATGGTTGGAAGGATCCACAAAATACTTGGAAGAGTTTCTCTCCAACATTACTGGGTAATTGTATCTACTAATAATAACAGGGTCTTGAAGTCCTGGAATTCCTGGAAATGTCCTGGATTTTAAACTTTTGTCCTTGAATTTCCCTTTTTAAAATAAAATTTTTATTTAATTTAATTTTTATTTTTTAAAAAATTTGTTTGTTCAAGTAGGTTAATTTAAATTATGTTAATCGTAATATGAAATAATATTACATATGAGGCATTCCATTTCAAAACGACCCCCTTCGTAAACAATTGCCAATGTAAGACTATTTTTAAATGAATATTTCTTCCATTCTGTAGAACCAAATTACTTTTTATATTAGTGATTTCGAAAGTAGAATTTCTGAACTTTCTGATAATAAAAATATATATTTTTTTAATAATTTAATTTAAATAGAAAATTGAGTTTAAAAGTTAAACTTTGAAAAATCTCAAAACACGTTACCTCCGATTTTAATAAATTTAATATCGAACGAAAGCTTGAATATTCTTCTTTTTATTTATCAAACGATAATAATGGACATTTTAGTGGATTTTGAGAAAATAATTAAATTTTACAAACATTTAGAAGGTTATATTGAGAAAACCATTTATTAAGTATAGGGCGGCATTTGTTTTTCCCAATTTATGCATAATAACCTTCTAAATGTCTGTAAAATTTAATTATTTTCTCAAAATCCACTGAAATGTCCATTATTATCGTTTGATAAATAAAAAGAACAATATTCAAGCTTTCGTTTGATATGAATTTTATTAAAATCGGAGGTAACGTGTTTTGAGATTTTTCAAAGTTTAACTTTTAAACTCAATTTTCTATTTAAATTAAATTATTAAAAAAATATATATTTTTATTATCAGAAAGTTCAGAAATTCTACTTTCGAAATCACTAATATAAAAAGTAATTTGGTTCTACAGAATGGAAGAAATATTCGGGTGATTCTCCAAAAAACCTCATTTTGCATGTAATCAAGATTTTCTAAATAATTATAATCATTTGGGAAAATACCAAGTCATATTTCCCTATTTTATCACTTTTTCTAAATGTTCTGCAAGAAAAAGTTGTAAAATTTTATTGTTTAATACATTTTTAAAATATTTTACCACCTCAAAATCGATTTTCTAACCTGTCATCTAAGTGCTTTTCATTTTTTCAATAGGTAAAACAATTATTTAAAACATGAAAATTGGTACTTTATTAATTTTTTCTAAAAGTTATGATATTTAAGAATAATTTTCAAAAATATAAATAAAATATGTCGTGTAGTTTTTTTAAATATAGAAAATGAAATTTGTCATGTAGTACCGCGTCATTCCTCTCACTCGTTGAATATTATCCAATATTTTTGCTGTGGGTAGAGATATTGATTAATTATTGTGATCAATATTTAAATTAACATCTCTAATATTAATTTCTTAAGTTACTTTTTAAAAAATGTTATTATTTTGCGTTAAAAAAATTAAAATTGAGACATAAGCAGAGATTCACAACCTAAAGCGTCATTCCTCTCACCCCTAAAAAAAACAATATTAATATATATAAATTGATCGCAAATTTTTTTCACATAAAGTTATCCTTTATAAACATGATAGGGCATTCTAAGCTGGAGGAAAATTATTTGTCAATTAAATAAAATTAAAAAATGTTGAAATCGTCATTCCTCTCACTTTTTTGAATAAAAATTAAAAATTGATATGATTGTCGGTTGTTTACAAACTGCCAGTGAAAAGTGAACCTAAAATGTATGAAAAATAATTTTTGACAATTGTTTAAAGAGATTTTTGATAACTGTAAGTATTTCAAAATCTATAAAATTTATAGATAATATTAATAAATTATAATTTTTAAATAATTTTTTGTAAATAGAAAAATATATATAATAAAAAACGCCGGCTCCAAATTTTAACCTCTTAATTTTTTTGTAAATTTTAATTTAAAATATATACTTTAAAAGCTAAAAGTTAGCATGATCATGCTATAGAGGTGGTAGATTTTTGAAAGCTCAATATAATTGACTGCATTAATCCATAAATAATAATTTTTTTTCTTTTCTGTTTGTAACTCACAAAAAGGAGTATTTCGGGAGAATCACCCATTCATTTAAAAATTGTCTTACATTGGCAATTGTTTACGAAGGGGGTCGTTTTGAAATGGAATGCCTCATATATAAATGTCCTGGTATTTTAAGTCATATTTTCAGTAGACACCCTGAATAAACAAATCTATACTTAAAGAAGAAAATAATGAGTATTTTTTCAATTCAGAACTCCGCACGAAGGACAATTAAGCAGTGGAGGTGTCAAGTCGACTATGTTTAGAGTAGCACGAGATGATGCGGAGAAACAAATATGTGTGAAGCTTAAGCAAAAATTAAATGAGTTTCTTGAATTAGAAAACTATGATTGGACTTTAGTAGAGTCCCAAGGGCACGCCTCGGGCTTCATTACAGACCTAATTGCTTTTTTGCACAGTACCTTCAAGTGCTTCACAGATTTACCTGTAAGTTATTACATTATATTTATATTACTTTTTAAATATTAACGTTTTATAGTGAGTCTTTGTGTTATAAAGTTACTAAAGTTTAAAAATTTTCTTATCAGAGAAATAAAAACAATTCCTGAAATATTTGCAAATTTAAATTATTCTTAAAAGTAACAAAAATTTTCCCAACTTACTGAAACTACTTGAAATTTTTTTAAAAATTTTGTACACGTATTTAAAAGCAAAAAAAAAATTAATAGTTTTAAAAAGATTCCAATAAAATTATTACCTAATTTGTTGAAAAACAGAAAACTTAATGTGACAATACCAGGGTAGCCGCAAAATTTGATTTTCAAAATTTCCTGACTGTTCCCTGATTGATTCTTCTTTTCTCCTGACTAATAAATTTTAGAATTATTTAAAATTTTGCATAATCAATAAAAAATATTCTCTATAGAAAAGTTTTTTAATTTATGGTTTCTTTCAATTAAAAAAATAAAAAATAAATTAAAAATTTAATAAATAAATAATAAATAATAATAATAATAAATTTAATAAATTAAATTCTCTGACTTTTCCCTGACTTACGGACACCCTGCAATATAAAGTAAAGTATTAAGAATTATTAATTCAATACAATATTCAAAAATCAAATTTTATTATAATCACTAAAATGTTTTTAAAATTAGGTATTTTATTAAAAGAATAGTTTCAGTAAAATTATTTTGTATTCACTGAAAAAATAATTGTTAAGTTTCAAACCTTTATGGGAAAATTAACAGTATTTTAAATATTTTAGTTGTTTTTAATAAGGTGCATTTTATGTTATAGCAAGAAGTGGCGCAAGTGGCTTGTAAAGCAGCTTGTGCTCATATAGCGAAGTCCATTCTTGATATTTTAGTCAGTGAGGATATAAAACAAATCTCATTGGGTGCTTTACATCAAGTAAATTTAGACACAATACAGTGCGAACGTAAGTGATATTATATTATTAATAATAATATTAGAAAATTTAGAGTCCTTCAAAATATACTCAAGATTTCCAGGTCTCGGATATTATGACTTTTTTCGACTATTTTTAAAAAATTCGACTTTTCTTCCAAATATTGCAACAAAATAACTAAAGACAAATCTTTTAAATATTATTTTTTATTATTTTTTAAAGAAAATTAATGAAAATTTGCTTCTAGAAATTATATTAAAATATTTTTGAAAAAAGTAATTCTTAGAATTTTTTCATTTTAATTTTTGAAAATTCAATTATTTTCAATACTTTCAATTACATATTTCCGAAAATTCAAATATATACAAGTTTTATAATTGTTTTTAACATTTTGGAGAAAACAATCAAGTTCAAAACAAATTTTTAGAAAACTAATTCTGATCATAATTTTGATTACAGTACAAAACATCCAGACCGAAAAATCCAAGAAAAAAAGTCCAAAATACAAAAAATCCATAATAAAAATGTCCAAAGTCAAAAAGTCCAAAATAAATAATAAAACATACGTATATTTACTTGATACATTTGAACAATAAAAATTTTAATTAATTTATTTAAATTCACATGTGAATATTACTACACGGAGAGAAATCTGTTGCGAATAATGCATAGAGTAGTTAGAGGTTATGAATATAGCATAAGCACTTACTAGCGAAAAGTATAAGAGGTCCGCCTGAATATCAGTCGACTCCGCCTATTATTCAGGCGGACTCGAGCAATAAATAGGCTCTCTGTTAGGATTTTAGCATCAAAGAATCTATGGAAAAAGTATATGAAAAGTTTCGAGCATTAATCCTAACAGATTTCTCTCCGTGTACCCATTAATTTTATGTATTCAAATTCATTTTCCTCCGCGACATACTCGTGATAAGTTTTGACAATTGTAAAAATTTGGTCCTCTAAACAGTTTTGCTTTCGTCGCGGTAAGTTTTTGATTTTTTTTTGTAAAAGTTACAAGAGATACTAAAAGGACATAAGTTTATAAACAAAAAAAGACAACCACATGAATTAAAAGGGAGCGTTCACAAATGATGTCACGCAATTTCATGCAATTTCACATGGGACATCATTTGTGAACGTTCTTAAAAGACAATTTCATTTAATGTAACAATTTAAATTTTTATATTTCAATTTTTTGCTTTGAATTTTTAATTTTTTTTTGGACTTTTTGACCAGAACAAAAAATCCAAAAAAAAGTCCAAAGTGAAACTATTTTTTCTTATTTTCTTGGATTTCAATTACTTCAGATTTTTTGGCTTGGACTTCACCTATAAAAGGTGGACAAGGTACCCGGGTACCTCTATACATTTTATGTAGATAAATGTAGAAATATCTATTAAAAAATTATGAAAAATTTAATTAAACAATTTTTATAGTACTGCACATAATTTGTTTTATAAAATATGTAATTTAGTTACTATAGTTAAATAATAATATCCATAAGAAATCGTCAACAAATTAAACAAAGGTGCCTCGTCCGTCCATAGAAGGTGTTTTTTTCCTCAGTCCCATAAAGGTTAACAAAATTATTCAAGTTTTGAATACACTGACTTTTTCGACTTTTTTTGTATTTTCAATCGACTGAAGCGACTTTTTTCACGCCTTGGATCGACTGATCCAAGGCCTGATTCTTGATTATTTTATTTTATAGTGGTTTACGTTTTTACCAAGAGAAACTATATGAAATTTTTATAAGTTTAAAATATTATAGTCTGATATTAATCAAATTTAGTTACATCAGAATGGAATTATTATTACATGACTTGACTGCAAAAAATGCCTATTTTTTTAATATTTACAGAATTTGCTGCTTCTGATCCAGTGAAAGGTCTACCTGAAGGTGCTTTACTAGAGAATTTTGCACAATTGCGACAGTTGTTAGACCTTTTCACAAACTGGGATTGGCCCACGTATTTTCACGATTATGGAAGTGAATCGAGTAAATATAGTCTCGTTACGCCAAATATGGCTGTCGTTCTGTTGGAGAAGTGAGTATTTTCTATTAAATTTATTTACTTGCTTTATGTTAATTTATGTTAATCATCTCATCACGAAATAAAATATTTTTTAGACTCAGAGAATCGGATAAGAAAACGGTATTTATTGTACTGAAGAAGAGCGAACGAGAGAAAAAGAAACTTTTAGAGACTGTCTTGAAACAATTACGCCAATTAGCTCAAGCAACACAACAATAATTATAACCAGTTAGTTATAATTAAATAAAGTGGTTAAACATTTAATGTTTGTAGTGATGAAAATTGTAAATATGTATAATAAAATGTACATATCGATAGGTTAATGTGTAAATAACTAGTATTGTCAAATAAAATCTTTAAGTATTTAAGTAAAGAATGAAATATTATTTTCCAAATGACATGAAGAAAAGAAATGTTTCTTTTCTCTAAGAAACAGTTGAATTTCTTTATTACAAATATCATTGTGTTTTTCTGTTTTAATTTGAGGGAATATAAATTACATCAATTGATGATGATATGAGCAGATGAATCGACGACAATAAATGTAACTCACGTCATATTATGTTCTATTGATTCTTATTTATATTAAAAAAAATCCATCAACTGTATTCACAACACAAGCAGCGAATAGATAATTATTCTCCAGGTTTCTCTGTCGGTAATATGTATAATGTAATTAGCTCTAGAAAAAGTTGCATATTTTGGCGTTGGATTATTTTACATTTACATAATTATGTAAAGTTAACTTGTATATAATATACAGTGCTCATTTTCTAAAGTGCTGTACATCGCGTAAAAATGTATTCCCTCGTCACCATTTCGACGGACCACATAATTGGAAAATTCTTAAAATAAAATTAAAAAAAAACAAACAAAACCTTTGTTTTAAACAATAATTATTAACTGACGCATATTGATAAAAAACAATATGGAAAGATAGATGTACCGTAATTGTATTAAGAATAATAATAATAAAATAGTTTAAATACAAATCAACAATAATTTCATAAAAAAGAAAAAGAAAGCTAGACATCAGATGGAATAGATCGCATTTCCCGTCCTGTTCATGAATCAGTTTAAGATAAGTATTCAGTGAATGTAAAATAAATTGGGTATAGTAATAGTATGTATATATGTTTTAGACGCTTCAGAATTGTAATTAGCACAATTTCATTGGAAACGATTTCAAGAGATGAGCATTTTTAATCCTCGCTATTATCAGGATCCATATCATCAGTTAGCATGGAATATTTGTTGGAAGCCGCAAAATTCTAAGGGAAAAAATATAATAATTAAATAAAGGAAAATTTACATATTTTTTCTTTTACAGATTAAAAAGAAAAATTATATTACTGGCGCTTGCTCCTCTCTAGCCTTTGGCATTCGGCTAATTTCATCTTCGTCTCGGTCTCTGTCTTTACGCTCTCTGAAAACAATTTTATTTATTTCATTCAAATTTGTACATTTTTTTAAATCACTCACAGTGAAAATAAAAGGTAAAAAATGAAAAATAATTAATAATAACTAAGAGATTAATCTATAGAGATATTTTTGCGTATTAAAAATAAAAAAAAAATCTCTCCGGCGGGGAATCGAACCCCGGTCTCCCGCGTGACAGGCGGGGATACTGACCACTATACTACCGAAGAATATGTATTTTTTAATCTTATTTAAGTACAATAGATTCAAACAGCTAGAAAAGAAAGGAGGGGCTTATTAAGGTCATCGCACAATAAGTTCGTGAACGAGATGCATGAGATAGAAAAAGACAGATATTATATCTGTCTTTTTCTAACTCATGCTTTGCGTTCACGAAGCAGTTGTGCGTTGGCCTTTAGACATCAGTAACGTCTAACGTAACAAAGGTGGGTAGGTATAAGTAGGTATAAGTCACACTTCTCACTATTTCTACAATAACCTAGTAAGTACTTTAATTGAAGTTTGAATCAAATAAAATAATAATAATTATTAATTTATAATCAGAATTTCTACACATTTTTTCTTAAAAAATTACATAAAATAAGCCAACATAGAAAAAAACGTAACCTAATAAAAAATAAAATTATGGTATTTCAGTTTTGCACTTGGCTAGAACGGAAGCAGATTGTTCACAATAGTTAACAAAAACAAAAAATTTAACCCAAATTTCAAAAACTCAATAAAGAGGAACAGATACAATTTTTAAAAATGATTAATCATTTTATCAATTATTTATTTTAGAATTTAAATAAAACTCAATTCTCGTAGTTGAATTCTGATAAGAATTGATTTAAAAAAAAATTTTAGTTAAAACTTTAGAAAATAATTAGAAGTGTTAAAAGTAGAATTCTATAAAAATAATTAAATTACAAATAGTTTTTAAATTGAAATCTTTGAAAGTCTAATGACTGTAAAAGTATAATAATATTTAAATATAAAAATTATTAATTTGTTAGCTTCCTTAAAAATTTTAAGTTTTGAATAATATTAAGTATTCAAAAATTCTAAAAAATTATTCAATTTTAGAAGACTTTCGTTCAAATTTGCATAACAAATTTTTCAAATGGTTTTTCATTGAAAGTATTTCGAAATTTTAAGCGCGTTCGTGCTTAAATTATTATTATTAAATCTCATATCTGCTTAATTTTCTCAAAAAAAATTGTTGAATTTTTTTAGATGTATTACATACTTTTTCAATTCATTAAGAATGTTTCTTTCTAATATAACTAAAGTATTTTACAAAAAAAGAAAATAGTTTTAAAATGCCAATTTTTTAAGAAATGGCAATAAATATTTCAAAAAATAAAAATTTTTAAAAGACTTACAGGGTTTGATAATATTTTCTGCTCAACAAAAATATAAATTATGCATCATCTTGGTTAAGACGAAAGATTTTTAAGTTGAACATTTTTTATTAATAAATTCGTTTTATTAAATTCCACAGAGCTTCTATGGAATAGCTGATTCAACTTTGACTTTTTATTATATTACGTTAAATCTGTGTTGATATTCATTTTTTGAAAAGTTAATAATAATTTATCAAAACTTTTGAAAACTTGCTCCCCATTTGTTCAAAGCAGAAAACATTGCTATTTCTTTTTTGATTTAAAATAAATACTATACAAATTTTATTTAAGGTAGAAGTCAAAATTTGAAGAAAAAAAAATAATTTCGCTGACTGTTATAATAAATATTTTTCAATTTAAATACATTTTAAAATCTAAAATTAATGTGAAATTTAATTATTATATATTTTTACAAAATTCTTTCAAAAAAATAATATTTTTTGTATTAACATTTTTATTTCCTTGATATTGTTTACAAGTCTTTAATTTTTAAGTGTTATTTATGAGATTTGTGATAAGATTTATGAATTACTTGTCGCTGAATGAATATATGGGGTATTCTCTGTGAAATTTTCACTCAGAATTTTTTTTTAGTTATAACAATTTTTCTCGAATTCTATACGAAAACTTTTGAAACTCTTTTTCTCCGTTATACCAAAAGATAAAAAATAATATTATAATATATGAAAAAGTAATCAATTTTCCATTTTTTCTTTTATTACAATCACTGATAAAAAAAGAAATTTTTCCCACTAATGACAAAGTGGTGTTCTATAGGGTTTAAATAATATTTAAAATTATGTCAGTCGTTGCACAGAATTTAGAAAAAGAAATTGAGAAATTAACCACTTCCAAGCTCCATTTCATTAGTAAGGCATTTGTTTTGTTTTGTAATTAAAGGTTAATTATTAAAAAAATGTAAAATTCGAATGGAACTCTGTGCAACTACCGAAATGATTTTAAATATCATTTGAACCCTAAAGAAAAAACAAAAAAAATAAATAAAAAAAAATAAATAAAAGAAAAAAATCGAAAATCCATTACTTCAGTTTTGAGAAAAGTCACTTTTTAGACGAAATTCCAATTTATTTTATATTTCTGCTTTATTAATGTTATTTTTTATTAGATATTTGAAATATTCAAGAAAAAACAAATAATTTTCATATATTATATTATTTTTTGGTATAACCGAGAAAAAAGAGTTTCAAAAGTCCTCTGCTTCTGAAAACGTTAAATTTAAAAAAAATCATAACTTACGTAATTTTGATCAAATAAAAAAATAAAAAACAGGTATTTACTTATTTTTCGTATAGAATTTGAAAAAAATTGTTATAACAAAAAAAAAATTCTGAGTGAAAATTTCACGGAGAATGCCCCATATGTACTTCAAATATAGTTCAATATAAAAAACATGCCGTTCACTATTTCAAAATAGCAATTTTAAATTAATAATAAATAGGTAGTATTAATTTATTTTTTAATAAATTCGTTATAATTTAAAAAAACAAAAATGTTTGACTTAGAGTGTCGGTCATTAAATCTGCTTAGGTAAACTAATAATTTTACTCAAAGACAATATTAAACTGTTTAAAAAAATTAATTTACATTATTATAAAAGAAATCTTAACAAATGGTGTACTGTTGGTTTGAAATTTTCTAAAAATGTAATTTTTAGATTCTTAAGGTCAAAAAACATAAAATTATATGAAAAAATCGAATTTTAAAATTTTCGGTTTAGCAATACATACTTCTACGTAGAAGTAAATAACAAATTTCAATTCAGAAGTTTAGAAGAAGTTTAAAGCAAAGTAAATGAAAACTTTCAAGTTTGTCTATTTGTACTATTAGTAAAAAGGAAAAAAAAAGATTAAAAAAGATTACCTCTCAGGAGGCGGTTGTCTAGCATCAGGCTGTCTAGCAGGACCTCGAGAAGAAAGTCCACCTCGCGAAGTCATCGGAGGTCTAGAATCTCCACGTTGTTGTTCTAGTTTAGAAAAAGTTACTTTTAAATGTTGAACTTATCGAAGAGAGAAAGTATTTCGTAATATATTTCCTTACCAGGACGAGAAGGCGGATTTTGTCTCTCAGTTTTTCTTTCGGATGGTTTTCCTCTATCGTCTTCGGATCTCCACCTTAATTTTGGTTTCTCTTTTTCTTCACGACCCTCCTTTAAGAATAAATTATTATATAAACTTTATCACAAAATTGAAAGAATTAAAAATAAGATTATGCAGGGTGGCCGCAAAATTTGATTTTCAAAATCCCCTGAATTTTTCCTGACTAATTCTTCTTTTTCCCTGACTTATAAATTTATAATTTTAAATTCCGCATAACTGATTAAAAATTTTATATTTTTTTTAAGTAATAATTTAATTTATAAAGGAAAATAAGATAAAATCTAAACACAATAACTAAATATTCATTTTAGCAAGGTTTTTTAATTTATGGTTTCTTTCGATTAAAATCCCCTGACTTTTGAAGAATTTTTACAAATTTTCTGATTTACAGTTTTTTCCTGACTCACGGCCTTCTTGATTATTATTGTGTTTTTTAATTGCGATAAAGTTATCGTAAACGCATAATTGATTTGTGTGATAGAATAAATTATTAATCTGACTCTGCTTTAAACACTTACTCCATTACGTTTTCCCCAAGCTCCTCCTTCCTTGAAACTCCGTTTGTCTTGGTCCCTGTAAACAAAATTCAAAATAAATAACAATTACATTTGAAAAATGTTATGTTTCAGTATTCAAATCTGTAAGTTGCATTCAATATCGAAGGATCATTCGTTTGGAGCATATCAGAATATGCTTATACTCGAGATAAAATATTTCTTTCAGCAGGAAAGATATTCGCTTATTATTTTTCAGAGTTGATGAAAAAGTACTTAAAATTAAATTTTTATTTTATATTCTTGTAAACTTCTTGTAAACTGATTGAAAAAATGCGATAATAACTTACGACTCTTCTTTAGCTTTAGATTCAGCTTTATTAAGACGTTCTTCAATTTCTCTTTCTTTTGCAGCTGTGTCCACAGGTTTGGCAGCACCAAAAATATTGACAGCTGGTACAGGAGTTGCTGCGACAGGAGGTGGAGTACTAGGTTCCTCTGGTTTTTCTATTTCCTCTTTCACAATAATTTGTTCCACTGGCTTTGTACGCGGTTGCAATAATAATTTTGGTCTCGTTCGAGGTTCAGAGTCTGAAATTTCGCCTAAACACACACACGAAAAACTAATTTACTAATAATTTTAATAACTAATTTTTGTAAACAATGTATTTTGGGATATTTTTTCGTTCGCAGTTTTCTTCAGCATAACATTAAAATTGTTTCAAGAAGGAAAAAAATAAATTTCAATTTAAAATAAGCCCAAGAAATTAATTAATTAATAAAGGCGCTAGCACAGCTCCTACTGCCTGCCTGCCTGCCTGCAGGTTGACATGATAACACATAGGAGTAAGAGAGTAAGAAAATTCAAATTAAATGTTTTTTCTCTCTCACTCTTATGGCGCCTGCTGCGCAGGCAGGCAGGCAGTGAGGTGAGAGTGTACCTTTATTCATTATTTTCAACAAGTTTTTAAATTATGAAGAATTTTTCAAACTTGCAGTTTTCTTGAATATTTAACAGAAAAATTAGTGTTTGTATTTCTAGTAATACTTTCTTCAATACTTAATGAAAGCTCAAGGATTACAGTTGGAAAAAGTAAAATGTATCTTTGTTTTTTTAAAAAAGAAGCTTTGCTATATTTATTTTTTGAATTATTACCTTTTCCCACTTGTCCTCTTTCCCAGTTGGAGTCTCCGCCGTAATTGCGTCGATTTCCGTAGCTACTTCCTCTATCGCGGTCCCGGTTCCGATCGCCATCTCTGTCTCTGCTTCCTCTTTCTCCACCATAACGTGAACCACCCCAGTCTCTTTCGCGATCATCACTGCCCCTATCTCTAAATGATGGCCTTCCTTTATCTCCTCCACCTACTCTCCAAGCACCTGGAGTATTGTCCGTATCTGCAAATGACAAATTTAACAAATCTTTTCATTTCAAACCTTTTGAAATTTAATATTTCTCAAAATTTCTATTATAACTCTTACGAAAAAGTTGAATTATATAAAAAAACAAGTTGTTGATAACAACGGATTTTTATACAAGTTATAACATTTTACAAAATCAATAACAAATTCTTTAACACAGTTAAGAGAGCGTTCACAAATGATGTCACGCAATTTTTCGGGATTTTAGACCCCCCCTACACTGTCACGCTACTTCATGCAATTTCACTTGCAAAAATATATTGCGTCACGTTTAGTAGAGACCCCTCCCCTGCCCCCAAAAACGTGACATCATTTGTGAAAGCTCCCTAAGCTGACTGACCCAAAAACTTAAAAAAAAAAAAAAAAGTAATGTCTGACGAAAATGGCTGGTTAACAAACTTGGCCTTCATTGTTGCACCAACTTTAAGTGTGTTAAATTTAAATACGATCGGATAAGTTTTCAAGAGTTATCGTGGGAACAAAATTTTTGATCTACAGACAGACAGACAGACAGACACCATCGCCGGACCATGTTTTTTGGGTTCAGGGGACCCCAAAACGTCGAGATTTCATGAAATTAGCGAAAGTCAATTTTCGACCAAAACTAATACTTTCTCATATGATGAGAATGTAAAAAAAAATTATGTAACGTATAAAAAATCAGAATTTTCAAACTTCTCTGATTTTCCTGACCTGTGCAATTTTGTTATTGTCAAAATTCATAAAAATGTACATAAACCACGTTACCAATTTATGGGGGAGAGGGTCTAAAAATCTGAAAAATTGGTAACGTAGTTTACGGACGGCCCCTAACTGAATAATAAATTTAGTGTATAAAGTTTTTATTACGTTATGGAATTGTAACTTGCCTTCTTCTTTGCGGTCTCGATCACGATCTCTATTTTCATATCCTCCCCTTCCTCGGTATCGATCAGAATCCGACGAGGACTCGTCTCTTGGACCGCTCCTCCAGTCACTGAAATTCCTCTGGTCAGAATCATCAAAGCCACCATCTCTGCGATCCCGTCCCATTCTTCCTCCTCGACGCTCATCATTGCTGCTGTTTGAAATTTCGATTCTAATACGTCTGCTTTGCAAGGTCTGATTGAGAGATTTATTATAGTATTATTACACAAGGCACATCAGTAATTGCTGATCAATTAAAAAGTACTACCTAAATAAATAAGAAAATATAAAATATACTTTCAATCAATACTTTTATAAACATACTAAACTACATATTCTACCAATTCTTAAAAATCTCTTCAAACAGAAATTTGAAATTCAGTATCAAGATATTAAGAAATTTGATTTGTTTTTAAAACTTTTTAATTTAAACCTTTTCTATCTAAAGTGAAATAATGTTATAAAGTAATCGTTTTTTGAAACTAACCGAATCGGTCAGGTTCAGAGCATCAATCAAACTCTGTCTATCGTCAAATTCAACGTATCCATATCCTTTAAGTTTGTTGGACTCTTTAGGAAGACGCATATTGGAAATCTGTAACAATAATACATATGCTGGATTAAATAATTCTTTTTCCACAGAATACAAATGAGCGGATGGGAAGAAGAACTTGCCGAGCGCGAGACCGTAAAGGATAGTTCCAGTCAGGTAGCAGTGTGTGGCCCAGAGGCGCTCACTGCTACCTGACTGATATTATCCCTTACGGTCTCGCGCTCGGCGAGTTCTTCTTCCCATCCGCTCAAATGTATTTAAAACTCAAGCATCGCTTTAATCAATTAAAAATACAAAAAAAGTCGAAAAACTCGTTTATTTAATTCGGTGTTGTCAACCAAATTTTATTTTGTATTTCTCTAACCTTTCAATTATTTTCTACAATTTTTAACTAAACTTCATCTCTAAATCAATTAAAATTTTTCGAGATTTTAAATATTTAAATAATACAAGAAATTAATTTTTTATAATATTTATGATTGTAACTTTCCATGTTATTTTTTAATTTATTAAGGTATAATATTTTCAAACAAGTTGTTCATTTCATGATCATTTAGCTTCCTCAATATAATATTTACCAATATTTGAGAAATATAAACAAATGCAATTTGACACATAACCAAAGTTAATTTCAAACTAGAAAAAATATATACTGAATTATTCATATCACAATACTTTTTTGACTTGGAAGTCTCATTATTAATTAAAATGAATTATAAATAATGAATTTTATAATTTTGTGCATTTCTTTAGTTAAAAAAAACTAAAATTTTAAATCTTGTTGGTTAAGTACAAATATTTTTAAATTAATATAATTCTTTATTAACAACTTTTTCTTAATGTAACACTGATTATTTGGAAATTTAATTAATTATCATTCTCGGAAAATGCGAAGTAAAAGTTTTTTAAAAAATGGACTTATCAACTTTTGCCCGCTTGCTCCTCAATTATTGCTTCCTCTCAAGGGAAGCCTTATAGTGATGTCGATTTTCGAATTTCTTGAAATCAATTATTTTTACAAATTTTCAAGTGTTGTATATTAGAGCTGCAATGTGCAAAATTCGAACCGAACCGAGTTTTGTTCGGTTCGAACTCGGTTCGGTTCGAATTTTGTAGTAACTTTTGTAGTAACTAGGCAATTCGAATGTCGAATATTCGAAATTCGAACTAGGCGAAAAAATTCGAACAGTTCGGTTCGAATTATTTTGCACAGCTCTATTAAATATATACACTACCGTCGGAAATTATCGGTACGGCTGCAAGCGCACGGCCCAAAAACATACCAATCTATAAATCACGATTTTTTTGTAAATACAAATGTCAGAAAATTAACAAATATAGGGGAGAGGGCCCTAAGGTGGTCACCCATCTTTTGAACGACTGTAGATTTCAAATGGAATTATATACAAAGGTCAATAATACGGCGTTTGAAACTTTATCTTATTACCTAACTTCCTATCATAAAGTTTTTTCATTTCATTAATAAAAAAAAGTTATGTCACTTTTTAAAAAAAGTTGAAAATTCGACTTTTAAAAAAGTGGCCCCAAGGTGGTCACCATACAAAAATTCACTAAAAAAGTTTTAAAAAAATGTAAAAAACGTATTATTAAGTTGTTTATTTAATATTAAATGTTTTTCATAATCACAGAAACATATTACATATTTTTTTTGCACTTTGTCCTTTCGTCAAAAATGATACTTTTTGTGTATGTGTAAGACAGGTAAAATTTTGAAAATAATTCTATTTTATTATTATTCATCATAAAACTTAAAAATTGATAAAATTCACATTCACAGTGATAAATGTTGATAAATATAGCGTATAAACACATTTTCATAAAAAATCAAAAGCGACCACCTTGTGGCCAAGACACAATTTTTAAACGTTAATGAAAAAATTTTTTAAAGCACAATATTAATTATATTCATTTGGAATATTATTGTACGATATATAAAGATAATTATAAAGATTTTTACTAATTTAAAATAGTTAATTTCGATGATTTTAACACCCTGAGAAAAAAATTTCTCGATCATTTAAAAACAGAAATTTTACGACGTTCACGTTACAACGAGACTCATACGACTATTTACCTCAAAACTTTACTAAAATCTTTGTCTTCTCAAATAATAACAATAACAAAAAACATTCAAAGATACTAACTACAGTCGGGTCCCCATACTGTTACATTTCCAGAAATTTCCCACTCCTCCAGACTCAGCTCTGTTATGTGCTCAAATTATGCTTACTGCGCACCTTTCAGGAACGTAAATATATACACCTCAAGTTTGGCCTAGAAGTATATGCACCCTTTTCCTTTGTCTTAAGAATACGGCCCTGAAAATTAGTGACGTAACGTGACGTCACCTAACACTTCTGAATTTGGAGGTTATGCAAAATCATAACACTACTGAGGACATAACAGTTTGGAATCTAACAGTATGGGGACCCGACTGTAATATACACAAATTTTCTTAGGGTGACCACCTTAGGGCCCTGACCACCTTGGGGCCCTCTCCCCTACCATTCGAAAGGTAAAATTTTCAGTTATGTATCATTAATCGTAGAATTTAATAATCATTAAATTCTACGATTAATGATACTTAAATGAAAATTTTAATAATTTATACAAAGATTGCAGCAATCGACAAATTTGACAAAAAAATTTAAAAAATAAAATTTTTTTGGAAATTTTTTCAACCCCTGCAAATTTTTTAAAAATAAATTGTAGAAAATTTTTAAAACTTACATAAGAGTGATCATTTAAGTCTCATCTTTAATTTAAGACCAAGAGAGTTCAAAAATCTTAATCGGTTAGCGAGATATCATTATAAACGGCCGAGTATTTTCAGCCTAAAATCGTTCAAAATCGACTAATTCAATGCATTTGTCAAAAAACATGCTCGGACGTTTATAATGATATCTCACGAACGGAATAAGATTTTTAAACTCTTTTGGTCTTAAATTAAAGATAAGAGTTGAGTTATCACATTTATGTAAGTTTCACATTTTTTCTACAATTTTTAAAAAATGTGCGAAGGTTGAAAAAATTTCCAAAAAAAATTTAATTTTTAATTTTTTTGGTCAAATTTGTCGATTGCTGCAATCTTTGTATAAATTATTAAAATTTTCAGTTATGTATCATTAATCGTAGAATTTAATAATCTTTCGAATGGTATATTTGTTAATTTTTTGACTTTTGTACCCAGTAATAAGGGGTGAATTAAAGTGGATTGGCACTTTTATGCCCTTAAATTCCAAACCAATTCCGTTTTTGTCCGCAATCTTAATGAATTCCTTTTCTATTGTTAAATTGATAATTTCTATCCGATTCAATTCTCTGTAACCACGTGACCAGAATTTGAATCCCCTTTAATGCCCTTTAAAGAATTCAATGTTAATTAAAAGACATTAACTCCACAACAAATCGACGCCCCCCGACTGTAAAATGTTTATTCGAATCTCCGTGCAATAAAATGTTAACTCAGAAATTCGTGCTGTATAATTGTTTTTAAAAATTTCATGCAATATAATGTTAACTCAAGTTGCATTCAATAAAATGTCAATTCAACCACCAGTGCAATACAATGTTATTTAAAATACTAAAATTTTTATTTCCAGCCTTTAAATTGTATGAGGTTAAATTAGATTATTAATTTATTTATTAAATTACTTAAATAGATTGAAGTTGCAACTGTTGACAGCACAATAATATTCGTATAGTTCCTTATTTATGGGTTAAGTTTTTATAAAAAAAAGTCAGTAATGCAGAATGGTGAATAAAAGATTATTTTTTTATGGTGAAATATCTGCATAGTTTTCCACTCTTTAGACAAACAGTTTGGTTTTTCTTCAGCAGACCAATTGGTTGAAAAAAAGAGTTATTATATATGTACAGCGTTAAAAACTGCTACAAAATGGAAAACTAAATTCAAAAAAGGGACTGTTAAAGTAATTTTAATATTTTTAAATATTTATAATTTTAATAAAAATAGTTTTCAAAGTTAGAATTAAATAAATTTTATTCTTTCATTTTCCTAATTAATTTAGTATAAGTAAAAAATATTTATAACATAACTTTTTCACTTTCGCAAGAAAAATTCACTAATTATGTTTTTCTTTAACCTCATATAATTTAAAGGCTAGAAATAAAACTTTTAGTATTTTCAATAACATTATATTGCACTGGTGGTTGAATTGACATTTTATTGAATGCAACTTGAGTTAACATTATATTGCATGAAATTTTTAAAAACAATTATACAGCACGAATTTCTGAGTTAACATTTTATTGCACGGAGATTTGAATAAACATTTTATAGTCGGGGGGCGTCGAAATGATTCCCTTAAACGGCATTAAAGTACACAGAAAAAAATGTCTTAAATCGGTGAAGGACTAATTTTAAAATCAGGCTTAATTTTAGTCTGTAACGATATTTTAGCCTCATGATTAACTTAAGAGTACTGTTAACACGCCTTAATCTTAAAGCAATACATCTTTATGACTTATTTTTATATGTAAGTCTTAAATGTAGTCTCAGAGAGACTAGTAGAAACTTTAAGAACTCAACAGATAAAATGAAGTCGAAATGTAGACTAGTTTTTAGTCCCCTAGCGTCTATAGTCCTCTGGAAGGGGAGACGCGCTTGGGCGTGATCAGGTGACGTGTCATTAGTTGTAATGGCGTTGCCTTGAGTGTACGTGTTTTGGGTATTTATAAATCCTTTATTCTTCTACAAGACAAGATCAATTCCTGCCTCAACACAAAAAGTCCTCTTTTTTTTTATCTACCATGGGAAACAATTCACATTCCCATCCCTATCAACGATGAATTTGGACATGAATTGAAAAACTCGAACACTCCAAATGAAAAATTGGCACAATTCCTGAATGATAACTATCCTAATCATATTTATATATGATTAGGATAGTTATCATCAGATAGTTATCCATCAGTAAATATATATATATATATATATATATATATATATATATATATATATATATATATATATATATATATATATATATATATATTTA